AATGTAGGGGTCAGAAGACCTCCATTGCGCGGGCCGCCAGTTGCGCTTCTGCTGAACGACCGAGCAGCGGGGGCACAACATTGCGGACGAGGCAAGCTGAGCGGCCAAAATTGCTGCGGCGGCCAAACTGCATCAAACTGCCAATCAAACGACAAGCGACCGAATCTGAACATGTAACTAACTCCTGTCTCGTTGTTTTTGTTAAACATCATTTAAACATCTAAACATCATCTGATTGTTGGAAAACTGTTGAAAGGTAGTAATAGTAAGTGTTCAAGATGCATCAGTATGAAGGTCATGCCAAATTCAAGCCTTAAACCGTATTTTGAGCTGCTCCTGCAATGACAAAACACAAAGCCAACGCGAAAAGTGGCAATATCCAGTATTTATACGTGAGTATGAAGAACATCCATGACAAGGAGGAACTCAATGTCATTGTCATTGCGGTTTTGACTTTAACAGGCTGACCCGCCCGTACTGACAACCACCGACAAAACTAAGCCAACCCCAAGAGCAACCAAAGCAACTGCTATACATCAGCCCGTTGCATCCCGTTGCATCCCGTTGCGTCCCGTTGCATCCCGTTGCATCCCGTTGCATCCCTTTACATCCCTTTACATCCCTTTACATCCCGTTGCATCCCGTTGCATCCCGTTGCATCCCGTTGCATCCCGTGGCGTCCCGTTGAGTTCGTTGCGTCCCGTTGCGTCCCGTTGCATCCCGTTGCAGCCCGTGGCATCCCGTTGCATCCCGTTGCGTCCCGTTGCGTCCCGTTGCATCCTTTGCATCCCGTTGCATCCGGTTGCATCCCGTTGCATCCCGTTGCATCCCGTTGCGTCCCGTTGCATCCCGTTGCATGCCGTTGCATCCCGTTGCACCCCGTTGCATCCCGTTGCATCCCGTTGCGTCCCGTTGCGTCGCGTTGCGTCTCGTTGCATCCCGTTGCATCCCGTTGCATCCCGTTGCGTCCCGTTGCGTCCCGTTGCGTCGCGTTGCGTCCCGTTGCGTCCCGTTGCGTCCCGTTGCATCCCGTTGCATCCCGTTTCATTCCGTTGCGTCCCGTTGCATCCCGTCGCATCCCGTTGCATCCCTTTACATCCCGTTGCATCCCTTTACATCCCGTTGCGTCCCGTTGCATCCCGTTGCATCCCGTTGCATCCCGTTGCATCCCGTGCATGCCGTTGCATCCCTTGCGTCCCGTTGCGTCCTGTTGCATCCCGTTGCATCCCGTTGCGTCCCGTTGCAATCCCGTTGCATCCCGTTGCATCCCGTTGCATCCGTTGCGTCCCGTCCAGTGCGTCCCTTGCATCCCGTTGCATCCCTTGCATCCCGTGCATCCCGTTGCGTCCCGTTGCATCCCGTTGCGTCCCGTTGCGTCCCGTTGCGTCCCGTTGCATCCCGTTGCATCCCGTTTCATCCCGTGCGTCCCGTTGCATCCCGTCGCTCCCGTTGTGATCCCTTTACATCCCGTTGTGCATCCCTTTACATCCCGTTGCGTCCCGTTGCATCCCGTTGCATCCCGTTGCATCCCGTTGCATCCTGTTGCGTCCCGTTGCGTCCCGTTGCGTCCCGTTGCATCCCGTTGCATCCCGTTGCGTCCCGTTGCGTCCCGTTGCATCCCGTTGCATCCCGTTACACCCGGTTGCATCCCGTTGCATCCCGTTGCGTCCCGTTGCATCGCGTTGCGTCCCGTTGCATCCCGTTGCACCCGGTGCACCCCGTTGCATCCCGTTGCATCCCGTTGCATCCCGTTGCATCCCGATGCATCCCGTTGCGTCCCGTTGCATCCCGTTGCATCCCGTTGCGTCCCGTTGCGTCCCGTTGCATCCCGTTGCATCCTGTTGCATCCCGTTGCATCCCGTTGCGTCCCGTTGCATTGTTTGCATCCCGTTGCATCCCGTTGCATCCCGTTGCGTCCCGTTGCATCCCGTTGCATCCCGTTGCACCTGGTTGCATCCCGTTGCATCCCGTTGCGTCCCGTTGCATCCCGTCGCGTCCCGTTGCACCCCGTTGCACCCGGTGCGCCTCGTTGCATCCCGTTGCATCCCGTTGCATCCCGTTGCATCCCGATGCATCCCGTTGCGTCCCGTTGCGTCCCGTTGCGTCCCGTTGCATCCCGTTGCATCCCGTTGCGTCCCGTTGCGTCCCGTTGCGTCCCGTTGCGTCGCGTTGCATCCCGTTGCATCCCGTTGCGTCCCGTTGCGTCCCGTTGCGTCCCGTTGCATCCCGTTGCACCCGGTGCACCCCGTTGCATCCCGTTGCATCCCGTTGCGTCCCGTTGCGTCCCGTTGCGTCGTGTTGCATCCCGTTGCATCCCGTTGCGTCCCGTTGCGTCCCGTTGCGTCGTCGTTGCATCCCGTTGCATCCCGTTGCGTTCCGTTGCGTCCCGTTGCGTCCCGTTGCGTCGCGTTGCGTCGCGTTGCATCCCGTTGCATCCCGTTGCGTCCCGTTGCGTCCCGTTGCGGCCCGTTGCGTCGCGTTGCATCCCGTTGCACCCGGTGCACCCCGTTGCATCCCGTTGCATCCCGTTGCATCCCGTTGCATCCCGTTGCGTCCCGTTGCGTCCCGTTGCATCCCGTTGCATTCCGTTGCATCCCGTTGCGTCCCGTTGCGTCCCGTTGCGTCCCGTTGCGTCCCGTTGCATCCCGTTGCATCCCGTTGCGTCCCGTTGCGTCCCGTTGCGTCGCGTTGCATCCCGTTGCATCCCGTTGCGTCCCGTTGCGTCCCGTTGCGTCCCGTTGCGTCGCGTTGCATCCCGTTGCGTCCCGTTGCGTTGCGTTGCATCCCGTTGCATCCCGTTGCGTCCCGTTGCGTTCCGTTGCGTCGCGCTGCATCCCGCTGCATCCCGTTGCGTCCCGTTGCGTCCCGTTGCGTCCCGTTGCGTCCCGTTGCGTCCCGTTGCGTCGCATTGCATCCCGTTGCACCCCGTTGCGTCCCGTTGCGTCCCGTTGCGTCCCGTTGCGTCGCGTTGCATCCCGTTGCATCCCGTTGCGTCCCGTTGCGTCCCGTTGCGCCCGTTGCATCCCGTTGCCTCGCGTTGCATCCCGTTGCATCCCGTTGCGTCGCGTTGCGTCCCGTTGCGTCCCGTTGCGTCGCGTTGCATCCCGTTGCGTCCCGTTGCGTCGCGTTGCATCCCGTTGCATCCCGTTGCTTCGCGTTGCATCCCGTTGCATCCCGTTGCGTCCCGTTGCGTCGCGTTGCGTCCCGTTGCGTCCCGTTGCGGCGCGTTGCATCCCGTTGCATCCCGTTGCGTCGCGTTGCATCCCGTTGCATCCCGTTGCGTCCCGTTGCGTCCCGTTGCGTCGCGGTGCATCCCGTTGCATCCCGTTGCATCCCGTTGCGTCGCGTTGCATCCCGTTGCGTCCCGTTGCGTCGCGTTGCATCCCGTTGCATCCCGTTGCGTCGCGTTGCGTCCCGTTGCGTCCCGTTGCGTCGCGCTGCATCCCGTTGTGTCCCGTTGCGTCCCGTTGCGTCCCGTTGCGTCCCGTTGCGTCGCGTTGCATCCCGTTGCGTCCCGTTGCGTCGCGTTGCATCCCGTTGCGTCCCGTTGCGTCGCGTTGCGTCCCGTTGCGTCCCGTTGCGTCGCGTTGCATCCCGTTGCGTCCCGTTGCGTCCCGTTGCGTCGCGTTGCATCCCGTTGCGTCCCGTTGCGTCCCGTTGCGTCGCGTTGCATCCCTTGCGTCCCGTTGCGTCGCGTTGCGCGTCCCGTTGCGTCGCGTTGCATCCCGTTGCGTCCCGTTGCGTCGCGTTGCGTCCCGTTGCGTCCCGTTGCGTCGCGTTGCATCCCGTTGCGTCCCGTTGCGTCCCGTTGCGTCGCGTTGCATCCCGTTGCGTCCCGTTGCGTCCCGTTGCGTCGCGTTGCGTCCCGTTGCGTCCCGTTGCGTCGCGTTGCATCCCGTTGCGTCCCGTTGCGTCCCGTTGCGTCCCCTTCTGCCTTTGCCGTTCTCTACCTTCAGCCGCTTTCGCCCTCAGTTTCGGTGCGCCACTCGGTGCGCCGCGCTGCCCAGGCCACCCCCCGCGCCGGAAGCCTCCCACGACGTGGGAGGCTTCGGTGGGGCCACGCCCACGCCGGTGCCACCGCCCGAGGAGTCCAGCGCCATCATCAGCTTCATCGAGGAGACTCACACTCAAAGCAGAACCGAAGAAAAATAACATGAAAGAAACGTAGAGATAGCGAACTCTTTTTGAGAGAGCGAAAATCACACGCCAACCATCAATCACTCAACTCGCCTGACTGGCTCGAAATGCATCACTTTCTTTCGCAGGAGCACAAGGATGAGTTGGCTTTGGGCGTCGGAGCAGCTGTGGTGCTGGGCCTGGGAATCGCAGTGGATATCCCGGAGGCAGAGGTGACGCATCTGGGCTACTTTGTGCTCTCCTGCCTCATAGGACTGCAATCTGCAAGCTTTCGCCAGAGCGGCTCGAGAGTCCTTTCGAGTTGAATGGATGCGGCTTCGGGATTGGGCAGGACACTTCACAGTGGCCGGTGTGACCCCTGCGCTGCACACGCCGCTGATTAGCGCAACTCGGAAAGAGAGTCATGAAGTCGACCCTGGGGACAGTCTCGATTTCTTGGGTTGCCCGGACCTTTTGGCCCAACGCTTGCCCAAAAGCATTGCCGCTCGAAGGTCACCAACGCGATCAGCGGCATCATCGTGGTGGGGGGCATGCTGCAACTCAGCGGGCCTGTACTTTCAGCCCGTGTTGGCTGCGCCCTTGCCGCGGTCTTCCTCTCCAGCGTAAATATCGTGGGGGGTTTTGCCGTCACCGCCCGAATGCTTGACATGTTCAGAGACGATTCCAGCAAGAAGGTCGCTGAGACGCGACATTGAGCTGGTATCGCAATCTTCCCCTGGACAAGTCGCGATGCGACATGTCCAATTCGTATAGCCGAATTGCGAGGTTAGCCATCGCTCTGGCCCGCTGACCGCAGGGGCTTCAGAGAATTGGTGCACATGTGCCGAGAAGTGTGCCTGCTCAAGCTTGCAACACTTAGCCAGGCCGGCAAGAGGGCGCTCAAGGACCAAGATAGAGGCCTGCTCTCGGGCCACTCTGTTTTTGCGCTTAGAAGTTGTCCATGGGTGTGCTTTTTCAGGTCTATTTGTTGCCCGTGGGCTTGGGGTGCTTTTAGGTTTAGATGTTGTCCGCGGGCTTGGGGTGTTTTCAGGTTTTGTTGTTGTCAGTAGGCTTGGAGTGTTTTGAAGTGTAGCTGTTTCCCTTGCGGTTTGGCTGTTTTCATGCTTAGATGTTGTCCGAGGGCTTGGGGTGTTTTCAGGTTTATTCGTTTTCCGTGGGCTTCTGGTGCTTTTGTTCCATTGGGTTTGTTTTCCTCTCCGAATGTTTTCTGTGGGCTCGAGGTGTTTTGTGTCTTTTTTTCCATTTGGCCTTGTCTTTTTGTTTTTTTGTGGCGAGGATCATGTTGATTGCACTGCAGGTGCTGTTGAGCCCTTGCTGCTGGCAGTGGCAGCGCTCAGCGAGCAGCTGGCAAAGGCGGGCAGCTGTCGGTAAAATTCAGGTGGCCGGTGGCAAGAGGTCCAGGTGAGGGTGAGGGCGGGCCATACCCGGACTCAGAAGGCGAAGCGACTTGCTCAAGCCAGGATTTCCAGGATGGCAAAGTGCGGCGCTCAGGTTGTAGCGACTGTCAGTGCGGTGTTCTGTATAGTTCCTTTGTCCATGCGGAAACCGAGAGCAACGCAGCTCTTGGCTCCTGCGACCAGAGCAGCGATAGCGACAGCAGGGTCGGGGTGTTGCTAAGTTTCAGGGTGTGCCACTACACCGCAATCGCATTGCAAAACCCTTGGGAAAGGCCAATGTTCGAGACACTGGTGGAATCGCTTTTGTCTCACGAGCCCCAAATCTGGATGCATCACTTCCAGCTGCTGCAGAGCCTTGGCCGTGGTGCCGGAGGTGAGGCAGGCCCGCGGAGAGTTACTCTGAGCTGCAGCGGAATTTGCTTCACGTGGGACTCGGAGAGGCGGTCCTGGCGCAGCATGACGGGCAGAAGTGCGTGCTGAAGTTTGTGCATCAGGGCGGCTCTGCCAGTCTGGGGAAGGGTTTTGGCCATGGACCCATTTCGCTCTTTCCGGCGAGGGCATTGGACTTCCGGGTCCTTGTTTGTGTAAGGCATGGAAGAGGACCAGCGACGCCGGTCCATGCGGGAAGTCCACCTCCTGCCACTTTGCCGGCGCAAGGATCAGCCCTGTGCGCCCCGTGCGCCCCGTGCGGCCTCGCCTCAGGCGGTCCTTGTCGCATCCCAACGTTCTGCGCATCCACGCGGCCTTCCTCCACCGGCAGCGCTTGGTCATTGCCTCGGAATTCTGCGATGCGGGTGACCTCCAGGCTCTGGGTGACTCGAATCGGGCGGCTTCGAGTCGTAGCGAAGTCGTGGCGAAGTCGCCAGGTCCTGATTCAGCGGCGGGAGCTCCAGGAGTGAGCGTGTTAATATACAGTATGATCAAGGCCTTGAGCCTACATACAGTAGAGCTACAGCTTGCCTCCTGGAAACAACAGTGCCGCGCTGTCACACACAGGTCTTCAGGTATTTACAATATCAATCCAACTTTAACATGGTAGCGGAGCAGTGATCCCTGGTACACGACCCTACCACACTACCCAGGGTGAGCTCCAACACGCACTCACAGTTTGAGGTACACAGTAGTGAGTAACATGATGGCACAACAACAAGATCAGCAACCACAACAGCAGCAGCTAGAAGGAATCCACAAGTACAAGATATCACCACCTCGCTTCAATGGCGAATACAACACCTTCGAAGAATGGAAGTACAAGATGACAGCATACCTGGGGCTACAAGACCCAGAGTACAACAGACTGCTTAGACAGTCAGAGCAATCAACAGGAGCAGTTACAAATGACCAACTTGAGAATGCAGCACCTTCACAACAAGTTGCAGAGCAATGGATACAACTGAGCAACAACTTGCACTACATCCTAGTGAGCACATGCGATGGACCAGCATCTACAATCTGCAGACAAAACATGCAAGGCAACGGATTCGAAACATGGCGGCTTATACATGCAAGGTATTCCACACCTCTTGGTACAAGGAGCATTGGATACCTTACAAAGCTGCTCAAACCACAACTTGATGAACAGAAGTTCGAAGAGAGCTTTACAACATGGGAGTTCCAACTCTCAAGGTACGAACAAGACAACAACACACTACTACCAGATGCAATCAAAATCGCAGTGCTACCCAATGAAACAAAAGGACCGCTACAGCAGCATTTGCAGCTACAAGCAGGAAACATCACAACATAGACACATGGCCAAACAATGCAGAGTGGCGATCTACAACTGCGATACTGGCAACTTCGACACCAATGACCAGACAGATGACTGGTACAGTCAGTCACACCATGACAACAACTGGTACCACCAGGATCAGACACACATGCAACAACTAGCATTACCACAGCCACCACAAATGGCGGATCCATTAGCAGTACCCATCTCAGGATTACAAGAAGTAACAATTGCCATGATTGGCGCAGCGCAACAACACTCAGAAGACAACAAGTGGGTCAGTCTTATGATTGACAGCGGTGCGGCTACACATGTATGCCCACCATGGTTTGCGCCACACTTTCCACTACACCAGCTTGCGCATGGAACAGGACCACAACTCAGAACAGTGACCAACCAGCACATCGAGCTTTATGGGTACAGATGGGTCTGCGTGACAAATCACAGCGCACAACAAATTGTCATACCATTTTACGTTTGTGAGGTTAAACAGCCGATTCTTTCAGTTACAAGGCTGGTGGAACAAGGTTTCCAACTTACATTGGATGACAACCCAAAGCTACATCACATCAAAGGATTCAACAGCACACTGGAGAGCAGAAAAGGCCTGTTCTTCCTACAAGCAGGAATCACAGCATTGCCAAAAGGAACAAAGCTACAGATACACAACACGGACCAATGACAGATCGGCATGATAGCACCGACCACAACACTGACACCACAAGGTCCTGCAGACACAGGATATGCAGGAGATTACTGGCAGTTCAACACACAAGGTGAACTTGTCAGAGTACACAGGCAACACAGAAAGACACTCTTCACACCTTCGAGAACACAGTGTCCAGCCCCAGCAGAACAACTTGAGGACTACAGGAAAACAACCATCAGACTCAAGGATGGTACAACGAACACGTTTGAAGACAAGTATCAAACAACGGAAGCGCCAAACAAAGCACAACCACAAATGTGGAAAGGAGAGACAACATTCAGGATCAAGAAGGGCACAACATTGCCAGAGGCAATACAGCAACAGCTTGCAACAAAGACGCAGCCAAAAAGTGCACCACAGAGGGTGACACCGCAAGTGATTCAGTACAAACCGCGCACACGGCTTAGAGAGAAAACAACACCACCAACAGTTCAGGACACACCTGCGCCACACACCACCAAAGGCGCAGCTGGACAAGGACTTCCACATCCTTCAGAGGTACACCCTGGAGGAGACTACTGGTACAGAGAAGGCCCATGCTGGAAGAGAGGACATGTTGAGCCTAGAACAGCGTTTTACATACCAGAGCAGACACACGACGGGCCAGACATCAAACGACCCTTACCTTGGAGACAGACCAAGGTACAACCAGTTGGAGGAGAAAGACAACACACAAGATTGATAGAAGATGAATGGGCAACACAGCCAGCAAAGACATCTGACAAGCTTGGACAGGCTGGACAAACTTTGAGGAACATCAGGAGTTCCCAACACAGCTCGAGTCAGATGATGAAGAACAACAACAAGGCACAAGAGCAAAAGCAGTACAGGCACCCAAGCAACCCACACCACAGATTTTGGAGCACAATGTTACACACCTCCCTTACAGGAATTGGTGTCCGATATGCGTACAATCAAGAGGCAGACAAAACAACCACCCAAAACAGCACAGCAAGCTTCCAATCATACAACTCGACTTCGGCTACATCAAAGGCTTCGATGACAACAACGTACATCCAATCCTCACAGCAACTGACATCCAATCAGGGATGATCATGGCAACACAATTGACCGACAAGAGGATGCTCTTCGACTATGCAGTCACACAGCTACAGCACTTCCTCATTGAGTGTGGAAGAACAACACACACACAATACTACAATCAGATCAGGAAGATTTCCTGACAGCACTCATTACCACAGTAGCAAGCAAGAACGGCAACATCGCAACCCGGAACTCAGGAGCATACAGTTCACAATCACAAGGAGGAGTAGAACGAGCACACAGAACATTGTTTGCGCAAATCAGAACACTCAAGGCACAAATCAAGCAAAACTACAACAGAGACATTCCAACGAAACATCCACTCATGCCTTGGATCGTTCGGCACAGTGCATGCATCATGAACAGGTACGCTTTGCGCAGCAATGGATGCACAAGCTACTTCAACAGATGGAACAGAGAACAGCATACACCATTGTGCGAGTTTGGTGAGACGGTGCAACACATGCTACCAACAGTAAAACATTTTCCAAAACTAGAGCCAAGGTTCTACAACGGGATCTGGCTTGGCAAGGACACAACTACAGGCGAATCCCTCATTGGGATCTACAACAAGGTTGTCAGAGCAAGGACAATCAGAAGGCAAATGATGCCTCACAAATACGACCAGCAACTATTGGACTGTGTACACGCAGGTCCATGGAAGACACCAGCATCAGCACTGCCCACACCGACTCTCACACCACCAGTAACAATTCCATCAGCAAGCAAAACAATTACATCACAGAAGGATGCAGCAACAAGCACGGCAGCAGAGAACAAGAGACAAAGCGCAGCACAGTCGAGCGAACAACAGCCAAAGCAGAAGAGGACAGCACAGCCAACATCAGCTATGGCTACATCACCGGCGAATCAGAAACGACAATCATTGCCAGCACCGCCGCACACATCACAGACAAGAGAAAGAGATGATACAATAGCAGAAGGCAGCACCGGCAAGCAACAACGCACCACAGCAGAGAGACAAACTCTTGAGCGGCCTACAACAGCAGAACAACCAAAAAGCAAGATGAGAATCAATGCCATCAAGTTCACAACAAAGGATGGTAAACAAATGGAGACGACCTCCAATGAAGACACACAAGAAATCGAAAATGAAAGGATCCTACTGGAGCCGATCACACATGACACAGAAGACCTGGATCCACAACTTGTAGCACAAGGCATGAAGAAGGAAGTGCAACAAATGCAAGAACAATCAGTCTTTACAGAGATTGATGGCAACACAATGACACCAGAACAACAAGCGAACATCATTGAATCAAGATGGGTTCTAAAACCAAAACACAACGAAGTACGAGCACGCATAGTAGCAAAAGGCTACACAGAACCCGTTACAGACCACGACCTACTCTTCGCAAGTACACCATTGTTTTGCATTCTGAGAGTGCTTCTCACAATGGCACTGGTGCACAACTGGTCGGTCTGTACAGGAGATGTGAGTGTTGCATTTCTACACGCAGCAGCCATCACACACAATCTGGTAATGAGACCACCACACGAGTTTTACAACGAAGAGAACAGACACATAATGCGGCGGCTAAACAAAGCAATCTACGGTCTTAGATCATCACCAAA